CTTGCTTCTTACCATATCATATATTCATCATTTTTACGCTAAAATTAAGGCTTGAATCCTTGACCTCATACCTTCCAAGCTTTATGCTCTCTTTCTTTACCAGTTGAACTGAAAGGCACTTGCAATCATTATATGAGAAATTAAATATGTATATATATTATTTAACTACATAAATATATCAAATAATATATTATAAAAATACACACATATGCATATTAAATTTTATTTTCAATTATTAATATGTTAAAAAATATTTATATTTTATTTAAATTATTCTTTATATTATATTTTTAATAAAATATTATTTTATTAATAAAAATTAACTTTAAATAAAGAAAATATTAAGTAATTTTATTATGAATATTTTAGTTAATTTTAAATTTAATTATTATTTTTAAATAAAAATAATTAATGTATAATTAAAAGTCATTGTCAAAGTTATTTTTTTGGTAATTAGTTAGGGGTAAAATCCCTCGCTAATTATCTTATTTTAAAAGGATTGACAATCTCTCACTATTTTTTTCGCTAATTCTTTTATTTTAGAGAGGGATTAACAGTCCTTCACTATTTTCCTCTCTAATTCTCTTATTTTAGAAAGGGATTGATAGTCTCTCGCTATTTTCCTTGCTAATTCTTTTATTTTAGAGAGGGATTGATAATCCCTCACTAATTTCCTCACTAATTTTAAATCAAGTTACAAAATTAATGTCCCTCGCTAATTTAGTATTTTAGAGAGGAATAGACGATCCCTCGCTAAATTTCCTCACTAATTTACATTTTTCTAGTAGTGCATTATGCATAATACAAGATTCATGTATTCTCAACTAAAAGTCCATACAGTTCTAATTTATCAGTAAGCCAGGCTTAACAAAATGCTTAAGTTAGGCAAACATTGTAAACACATAATCTACTATGCACGACACAAGGTTTATATATTCTTAACTAAAGTTCATGAGATTCCAGTTTATCAATAGGCTAGGCTTAACAAAGTGCTCAATTTAGACAAACAATGTACAACATAATATCTACTATGCATAACACAAGGTTCATATATTCTCAATTGAAAGTCCATGTGATTCTAGTTTTCCATTAGGCTAAGCTTAACAAAATATACAACTCAACATTCAACAACAACAACTCAAAGTTAGTTTTTGCACAACAAATATTTAAGATTTCTAATAGCATATTTTCTTCATATTAGGTCATATTCTATTCAATTCACATGTTAAAGTCCAATATAAATAAGTCAACTATCATTATTGTATAATAACTAATACACTTTAAAACTTTCACAGCTAACTTAATGGTTTAGCAACATTTATCTTATATTAGTAGTAAAATCACAACTAAAATTCCAATTGAAGATTTTCCCATCCAACCTAAATATTTGGCTAAAATCAACTATTTTGAATAATCCTCTCATCAATTTATGCTGGGCTAAGAAGCCAGCAAGCCCGTTCCATCACTCTCTGCTTGTGGTTTAATGAAGAAAACATGGCCAAGCAAGAAGCAACCAACAGCAATAAATACTGAAAGCCAATAAAACATTACATCACTCTTTGCTTGTGGTTCAACTGTCAGCTCTTTCTTGTTTCAACATAAAAATGGTAGATAGCATCTTTAATCAAAGCTCAACAGAAAATTTTCAACCAAAGCACTGCTTGAGATAGAGGGATTTTAAAATCTACATACCTCGAAAGTTACTCTTCACTATTAAAGTTAATAAACCTTTACATCCTCTAGCTAGGTGGCCTTCTTGCGTTTATCATCAATCCCACCACTTTCTGTTCGTTCATTTCCATTTCTTTTCATAAAGGGTAAAAATTATATTTTTGGTGTAAAGAAAATTGTAATAAATGCCCAAAGGCTTGAGAGTAGTATTAGATTTTTCAAGCCCAAAATGCAATAATGTGTGTTTTTAGAGCCCTTAATGTTATTCCCCCTTGTTTTTAGCTTACCAAAGGACAACTTGCCCAAACCGATGGTTTTCATGCTATTTTTTCTAAAAATTTTGGAATATTGTTGAGGATGATGTCTTCAATATGTCTCTCACATTTGGACCTTTGAAAATATTCTCAAGGCTCTTAATTGGACTTTCATCACTCTCATTCCATCCAAAGGTAAATCTATCCTGTCTTTTAGAGATATAAGACCTACTACTCTTTGTAATGTTTCCTACAAGATTATCTCAAAGATATTGAGTAACAGGCTTAAGAATATTCTTCCAAGATTGATCTCCCCCTTTCAAATCACTTACTTGCCTTATATTTATATACTAATCCTAGACAACATATTGGTGGCAGCAGATCTGGTTCATCAAATCCATTCTACAAGGGGAAAAGGAAAAAACTAGGTTCATTAATACTTGATTTCTCTAAAGCTTTTGATAAATTGTCTTGGAATTTTCTAAAGGCCGTCCTTCAAAGTATGAACTTCCCACTTAAATGAATTAATTTAATTTTCCAATGTATTTCTACGATGGAGTAGATGAATATTTTTAATGGATGATTTTCTCATCTAATTTCTTCCTCCTAAAGAGCAGTAAGGGGCATTTAATGGAATCAAAATATGTCAAAATTCATATTTGGTCTCTCATCTTTTATCTGCAGATGATTCCATTATTTTCTTTGAGTATATGGGGGAAAACCATTAAGGAGGTTTTGCAAATTTTTTGCAAATGATTTGGTTTTCAGGTGAATGTTCAGAAATCCTCTTTGCTCCTTAGTCCTAATTGCTTTGCTAAACTTAAACAGGAACTTGCAAGACATTTGGGTATATAAACCTCTAACTCTTTTAGCAAGTATCTAGGCACTAGGATTGACACTAAAAGAGACAAATCGTTAATTTTTGCCCAGTCTATGGAATCTATTAAGAGAAAGATTAGTTTTTGGAAGGTTAAACTTTTATTGCAGGCTTCCAGACTCACTTTCATCAAATCTCTGTCATCTACTTCTAACATCTACACTTTGTCATGTGTAAAGCTACCATAATGTCTTTGTAATGTCATTGATGCTAAGCTAATTGATTTCTTATAGGGTGTCAATGATGGTAACAAGAATATTCATCTTCTTAAAAGAAATATTCTCTTTTCTCTTATAAGGGATGGTGGACTTAGTTTGAGAGATGCTAAGAGCATGAACTTGGCTTTGTTTGCTAGGTAGATTTGGAAAGTGCTTGATGCTGAAGAACATTTGCTTTTGGGTATTTTCAAAGCCTTGGATTTGATCAAAAAGCATCTTACTTGGCAGGTAGGGAATGAAGATTCTATCCCTATAACCCATGAGACTTGGTGGAAGCTTTCCAATAGAGGTCTTGCTCATATCCTAAACATTTCAAAGGTTTTGGATCTTATAATTCCCAATCCAACTCCTTGGGTAGCTGTTAAATGCATGGAATGCTCTTCTCATTACCAAGCTCTATGGCTAGGAGAAGGCTAATTCCATTTTAAGGATATCTATCTCTTTTATTGGTTTGACTGATCGACAGATATGGGGTCTTGGCTCCTATTCAATCAAGATGGTTACTCAATAATTACTTCTACAAATCAAAATAGGCCCTTAGCTAGGGAAGGAATTTTGGACTTTCTATGGAAATTTCATTTGCCTTACAAAACTCTCTTATTCATTTAGAAAATTATTCATGAAGCAATTCATATTAGGGGTGTATTGAACAAGCATCATCTTAGCACTACTCTTCAATGTGTCTTTGGCTATGACACAATAAACTTTGCATCATACCTTTTGTGGTTGTCCTTCCACAAGAGCTATCTAGCTTGGCTATATGTCTTTATGCTTCACAAACATTTTCCCTCAAGGTCTTTCCACTTGGATTCTTCAAATGTTAATAATTTTATACCAGAATCAAGAGATTCAGATGTTTAAACGCATTTATCTACTGTTATGTCTAATTTGGTATACAAGAAACCATGCTTTACTTACAAGTAAGGTCCCCCTATTGAACAGGTCATTAGAGATTTTAATGAGCAGTACACATTTTTCAAAGGTGTATGCAGATGGAATAGTAGTCAACATTAAGGAAAAAATATAAATCTTGGAATTACTGAAGGAATTTTCATCTTTCACTCTCTTAATCAAGCTCATTTAGTCAACTGAGAGATTCAGGCACATGTTTTTTTAAAAAAGAAGAAATGTTAATGAACTGAGTTTTGATTGGTTTAAGAAAGGACATAAATTCCGCTAGTCTCCACCTCACAACTCCTAGTGTTCTTAATTAGTTTATTGTATTAGTTTTGGTAAGTGGAATTAATTAAACTAAAACATGAAATATGTTAGTGTGTGTTCCGTTTTCAATTTATATTTAACAAAAGTTCATTTAAGGGATTTAATTATTTGTTAGATTTGATAAAAATACATTCAACATATAATTTGAATATATTTTTAAGAGTTATCCAAACAGGCCAAACATTAAATTATATTATTTCCCCATTTTCTGAATATCTTATTTCCGGCTGGTTTTTCTTCGATGCTTCCTTCAACTGCCTCGCCCATAATTTAGTCTCTCTGTTGCCTTGTTTATTTTATTTCAGCTCTCTTTGTTGCTTCAGATTAAATATTCCACGCGTTTCGTGTAGAGAGACCAAAAGGGATAAACACAGTAGCTACTGGGCTTGGCAACAATCACATATTGACACGTTTGACAGTAAAATGATCGGTGCCAAAGAATCAATTCAATAAGAATCAGATTCCAATAATATTTTATTAAAAGATAATATAGGTTGAAAATACTGTTTCAAACTGATAATGACATATAAACTAATGTGCAATAGAAATCTTATATTCATTTATTTGTTTAAATCGATATTTGTAATTATTTTAAACAAAATTATTATTAAATGGGAATAATTGTTTCTCCTCAGGCAGAAAAATGGGATGAATTCTTTTTTTTTTTTCATGCTTTCTAATCCAAAAAGATCATCATAATTTAACAAACATTTGTATTCTCGTTGTAGAAAAAGAAAAAGACTTGACCCCCATTCACTTGCATAGAACTTAGAAGCCTCTCCGTATCTCTCTCCGGGCAAGCTCCCAGAAATTTCAACCTCTAACAACCCTCTTCGTTGTGGTGTCACATATTTTTATCCTTGTAATGTTTCTGCTTTATCTTTGACTTGGAAAACTTTTCTTTATGTTTTCAAAGGGCTCAGCGACAGCGACCCGCAAGAGAGAAGGCAAAAAAGAAAAAGAACAGAGAAACTGCCGAGTTCTAAAGAAAATGAGGTATCTCGAGTCTCCAACCCCGCCCGCCAATGCGGAATAAATAAACGAAGTCGACGCAAATGGAGAGGAAATGAACGAAGATGTCAACCATGAGTTGAGAAAGAAGACTTAACTAGCCATTTACATACGGTTTCGGTTGAGTTATACATGGCAGAGCTCCCCAATTTTGACGAGATTGTCGCAGAACGACTTACGGAGAAGAACAAGCAAGATTGGTTTGAATGGGTTAAGAACTACCTAATATCTCAAGATCTCTGGGAAGTAACAAGTGGTAGTAGCGCAAGACCAGACGAGAATGTGGAAGATTTTGCTAGATGGCGAAGAATCAATGCTGTAGCATTGCATGTCATTCGTGTCTCTTGTGGGCCTAACAATCACTCTCGTATAAGAGGTGCTTCTGAAGCTAAAGTTGCATGGGATATTCTCTATCGAGCTTACATAGCACCAGATTCTCCTCCCAGAGGTCAGTGTCCTTCTGATAACTGAGATAAGTCCTATTCATTTGTTGATCATGTCGAGAGATTTATCTATACGTCACTTGAATCATTTTAGAGGTGCTTTAATTAATTTGCATATAACTCCAAGTCGTATACTGGTTTATCATGCTGCGTGAATGAAAAATAACAGAGTATTAATTAACAAGTAATTAAATTAGTCATCTTCACAAATTTACTCGAAATATGATTCTTCCTTGTTTGTTAAGGCTACTAACAGTTCTCTCACTGTTCTTTCTGGTCTATGTTAATAATTTTGACATTGTCGTATCACTATCTGAGTTAGTACAATCTGAAAATTATAATAGTTAGATTCTAGCAAATATCTATGCTAAACCCTTAGCTCATGGGCCTTTCAGCACACCGTACCCAAGCTGGGCTTGATTGACATACATGTTCCAGCTTCCCTAGGAGGGTTTAATAGAGTATTAGCTAACAAAAAGTGGTTGACATGGTTAGTGCGTGGTTCAATTTTGTTATTTAGCTAATTTCAATTGCTATACCACATATATGTAATTTCATCCTGCATGAATGACAAGTTCAATTTCTCTAAGCGGATCACACATTCATTAATTCTCTCTCTCTCTATATATATTTTTCCTTAATTATGCATATATCTATGTGTATTACAGTGATGACAGAAGTAGTAGATTTTGATATGGCTATTTTGTACAAGGCTATATCTGAGAACAACTGGTCTGCTGCGAAAGAATTCATTGATCACCATCCTAGGGCCTTGGACGAAGAGCTTGCAGCTTTAACAGGAGAAACACCTCTCCATGTGGCTGTAAAGTTTGGGCATGTGCGCATGGTAGAGGAGTTGGTGAGATTAGTCCCACCACAATACCTTAAAATACTTGATGCTCATGGCTATACTCCACTTGGAATTGCTGCATCACATAGGGGAATCATTCCAGTAGCGAAATGCTTGGTCGAGAAAAACAGCAGTGTACTTGCTATTCGCAATGGAGACCTTAAACTGATTCCTGTTACATTGGCTTTTCGTGTTGGCCTTAATGAAATGGGACGTTATCTCTATTCTGTCACTCCTTTGCAAGTCTTCAAACCAGAAAATGGCTCTCTGGGTCCTTCGTTTCTCAGAGGCTGTTTCATTACTGGAGATCTTGGTAATACAACTTACAACTAGTTCTGGATAATTATGTCAACAAATCATAATATATGCTTCATGTTGATTCCTTTCTCTATGCTTGTTTATATTGTTATTTTGATATTCCACCTCATGCTAATGTGATTATGATATGTGAATAGATATTGCCTTGGATTTACTTCAACGATGTGAAGAGCTGATTTTTACGGCTGATTTTGGGTATTCAACAATTGAGAACATTGCATTCTATCTTTCTGATTCTCTCAACAAAAGTCAACTTTGGTTCTGGAAGCAATGGATTTATCGCTGTTAGTGCATATCACTACTTTTAACTGTCTTTTTTTTTTTTTTAACCCATACGATTTTCTATATGTTTGCTCTTTTTAATTATATACTAGCCAAAGTTCGGAATTATGATGATGAGAGTAATGATAGTGAAGCTGAAGTTATTTTAACTATTACTTGTATAATTTTGTTTACATTGTGATATATTCTGTAAAGGAAAGGGCTTAACACTGAACTGAGAGAGAGAGAGAGAGAGAGAGAGAGAGAGAGAGAGAGAGAGAGAACTTTACATTTCATTGATGATAGCTGGCTTATATATCAGCTTTTTCAAAATAAAATCCAAGTCTAAAAACATATCTTAGACTGGTAGGACAATAGGAAAGGTAAACCCTGAAAACAGAACAGCCATACCTACAAACATATCTTTTCAACTACAACAAAAGAAAGCTGCCATGATAGACCAAAAGTCTAGCACGGCTAACGAATATCAGTAAGAATATCTTTTCCTAAAGTATCTAGGCAAAGTCTCATTACATCAACATTCCTCCTTGAGACTTTGTCTTGAGACACTGAGCTTCATTCTAAGCTCCTGAAACCTGTCTTTAGGCAAAGTTTTAGTGAATATATCTGCAACTAGTTCTTCGGAACTGCAATGTACAGGACATATTTCTTGTTCCCTTTCAGCTTCTCTGAGAAAATAAAATTTGACCTTCATGTTTTTGGTCTTCCCATGCTGCACAGGATTTTTTTTTTCAATAGCAATTACTGATTTGCTATAACAAAATACTTGAGTAGCTTCAGCTTGCTCAGACCCAAATCTGTCAATATCTTTCTTAACCAAATTGCTTGGTTTGCTGCTGCAACTGCTGCTACATATTCAACTTCTGCTGATGATTGAGCCACATATCCTATGAGCTTGGAATCTGATGTACTCTTTCCATCATCTAATCTCCCAGCTTAATCACTATCCACAATTCCAATTAACTCGGATTCTGTAACAGATCTAAACCATATTCCCAAATATGATGTGCCTTTTAAATACCTCAGCACCCTTTTACCAACTACACAATCCACCTCACTTAGTTGTTGCATAAATCTTGATGATAAACTTGCTGTAAACATCCTATCAGGCCTTGTCTCGGTCAATTTAAGCAAGCTTACAACAAGACTCCTACACTCCTACACCTTGATGCATCAGCCTTGATATCTTCTCCTCTACATTCAGATAATTTTTTATTGACTACCAGAGGAGTATCCTTAGGCTTATAGCTTTGCATTTTAAATTTTCTCAAAGATCTTGAACATAAGGTTGTTGAGAAACAAAGATTCCATGATCTGTCTAATGCAGCATTTCAAAACCAAGAAAGAATTTCATCTCTCCGAAGTCTGTCATCTCAAATGCCTTTTACATTTGTTACTTAAAAGCATCAATGCATTTTGTATCACTGCCGATTACCAGTAAATTATCAACATACAGGGATACAATTAACACATTCGCAGAAGATAGAGTTTTGGCATCAAGAGCAGCATCATTACAGCTCCTCCTGAAACCTCAACTGCAAAGAAACTTATCGGTTCTACAATACCAATCTCCAGGAGCATGGTTTAGGCCATAGAGGGCCTTGTGCAGCTTATACACCTTGTCATCATCTTCATTCTTCTTAAACCCATTAGGTTGTTCTATAAAAATCTCTTCTTTCAGGTATCCATTTAAGAAAGCAGATTTGACATCAAGGTGGTAGATTTTCCATCTGTTTTGAGGAGCTAAAGCAATGATGAGTTTGATTGTATCAAGTCTAGCGATCAGAGCTTATGTGTCTCCATAACCAATTCTGGGATAATGTGCATGCCCTTTAATCACCAACTTTGCGTTGTGCTTGTATACAGAACCATCAGGATTGAATTTGGTTCTTCATGTCCACTTAATCCAATAACTTGCTTGTGTAGTTGTGTTGGGGTCTATCTACCAACTCCCAAGTGCCTTTTTTCTCAATAATAGAGATTTCATCTCTCATAGCAGCATTCCAATCTTCAAACTTGGAAGCCTCACCAACATTTGAAGGATCAGTGATGGCCATTCTGCACCTTGCATAAACACCTGTCAAACTACTAGTTTTCAACATTTCTGAGTCTGTAGTGTTCTTAATGCAAGGTTCTGAATCTGAATTTAACACTTGAGTAGCATCTCTTTGATCAACAAGTCCACTTGAATAATTTGTTGAGGTTGGGGCACTCTCAATAGGTGAACTTTCCCAATTCCACATTACATTTTCTTCAGCTTTCACATCTCGACTAATTGATTTCTCAGTTTGCAAATCAAAGATTTTGCATCCCTTTGACTGACTGCTATAACCCAAGAATATTCCTTTCTTTGCCATTTTTGACAGTTTATATGCTTCTATATCTGATACAAGCATATAAGTTAATGATCCAAAGACCTTCATATGATTAGCTGAAGGTTTTGGACCACTTCAAGCTTCAATTAGGGTTTTTTCATCAATTGCATGAGTTGGCAGCCTATTTTGAAGATACACAGAAGTATGTGCTGCCTCAGCGCAAAATCTTTTTGGCAACTTCTTTTCATGCAGCATACATCTTGCCATTTCAAGTACAGTTCTGTTATCTCTCACATATTCCATTTTGTTGTGGAGAGTAAGGAACAGTGAGTTGATGTTGCACTCCAAGATCATCACAAAAAAGCTAGAGAATTCATTTGAAGTATATCCTTCCCCATTATTTGTTCTTAATGTCTTCAATTTGCATCCACTGAGTTTCCACCATAGACTTGAATTTTCTTAAAAAAAAAAAAAAAAAAAAGCTGGGACTTGCTGCTTAAGAAGTAAATCCAAGTCATTCCGGATAAATCATCAATAGACAGAATAAAATATTTATTTTGACTCTGGGAGTTTGCATAGGACCAGATATGTTTGAATGAACCATTTCAAGTTTTTCAACTGCTCTCCATTTTGATTAAGAAGGAAATGGGAGTCTATGGATTTTTCTCATTTGCCAACTTTCACACACATCATCATTCACACAAACTTTGGACATATCCCTTACAAGACCTTTATCTTGCATAAACTTCAAAGATTTGAAGTTAGCATGGCCATATCTATTGTGCCACAACCATGAATCATCAACAACACTCCTATAAGCAAGAGAAGGCTTTGAGAGTTGATAGGAAATCTTCTATCTACTGTTGGAACAACAGAAATTTCAACTCCAAATGAAACATATATGGCACAAGTTTTGCTTTTGAAGATCAAAGAGTATCATTTTCTCAACATTTGCCCAACACTCACTAGATGTCCATCTAATTTAGGAACCAACAGCACATCATGTATAAATTTAGTTCCTTTTAAGGGTTGGACAGGAATGGTACCTTTTCCAATAGATTCAATAATCTCACCATTGCCAAGCCCGATAGTAGTCTTCACGGTTGAGTCTAGCTTGCAGAAATGCCTTGGATTTGATGTCATATGATTTGTGCAACTGCTATCCAGCAACCTGGAAGCTTTATCTACTGATTTATCTGACACTATAGACATGAAGAGATGGCCTTCCCGTACCTTTTCTGTTGTGGTAGAATAATTCTGACTGAGAGGTTTAGGGAGAATTGAGAGGGGAGAGAGAAGAATAGAGGAGGTAGAGAAGAATTGAGGAAATTTAGAGACTGTAGGGATAAACTGAATAGTGCTTGGCCTTTTCTCATAAAACATAATGAATACAAAAGTCTAAAGGTATTTATAGTAATACGGATCCCCAACAGCTATATAACTAATTGACATCAATATTATAAAAATATAACAATACCCCCCCCCAAGGTAAAGAGATCCTTGACCTCAAGGATTAGTTACACAAGAAAATGAGGAAACTTTTGCTGAAATTGGTACAAAGGCGTCCAACATGCTTCCTCATCTGGCAGTTGCTTCCATTTAACTAAAATTTCAGTGATGATTCGACCTTTCTTGCAGCCCACTCTTTTCTGCAAAATTAATTCAGATTCTATTGTCGCTGGAAATTATGGCCAATCAAGTGGTGGGTGTCTTTGCTTTACCTTGAATCAGGGTACAACTTCAATAAAGACACATGGAAGGTAGGATGTACTTTAGAGTCAGGTGGTAAATCAATAACTGTCTATAAGGTAGTTTGAGACAAACCCATTGTCCCACCACAAACTCTCGGTCAGATTTGTGAGCATCAGCCTTTTGCTTCATCATTCAGCAGCTTGATGCAAATGATGCTTTAGAATCTTTATCATCTCTTTCCCATCTATGAAGGACCTGTCTAACACATCTAGAATAGAATTGTGGAGTAAACAAGGACAATGGAGAGGAGGAGTCTAACCATATAGAAGTTCAAAAGGAGTAGCCTTAGTTGCTGTACGAAAAGTAGTGTTGTACCACCATTCAGCCTGTGATAACCATTTACTCCATTCCTTGAGTGGCTCCCAACACATGCACCTTAAGGATGATAGGCTGTAGAAAGATACTGTTGCATACCTAAAATTTTCAAAAATTCCTTCCAAAAACCACTTACAAAAATTAGATCACTATCAGATATAATTTCAGTAAGGGCATCATGTAATGTATAAACACAATCCATGAAAATTTGGGCTAAAGAAGATGCTGAATAAGGATGTGTTAGGGAAATAAAATGTGCATACTTACTCATTCTATCTATCAATATCCAAATTGTGTCCTTACCATTGGATTTAGGAAGTCCTTCAATAAAATCCATAGTAATATTTTCCCAAATTCTTCTAGGTATTGGAAGAGGTTGTAACAACCCTGGTGATGCAATAGCTTCATATTTACAACGTGCACAGGTATCACATTGCTTGATAAAATCTGTAACATCATTAATAAGTTTTTTCCACCAGAATAATGCTTTAATCCTGATTTGGTATCGTATGTGGACAGCTTTCCTTTTCCTCCGGGGAAAGTAATAGCACTCGGCATACTAGAAAGCGTAAACCAAGCACAAAAGCTCGACTCCTTAATATAGCTGGCAACTACCTAAA